TCCTGAGCGCTCATGCTGTCGTGTTCTAGTCGCTACCCAACCTGCCCCCAGAGCTCCAAGTTCTCCCCTGTGATGTGTCCCGCAGTGGACTGCTTGTCCCCACAGGCAGCCCATGGGAGAGAGAGAACAACCTGGTCAGTATCTTAATCTCAGCCTCACCATACAAGAACTCGGTTTTGCCATCTGAATGATACGCTCCCGCGTGTGTGTACTGACGATTTTTTGGCTTATGTCCACCCCACAATTTGATGTTAGGGGGAACTTCTGGAAAGGCCTCTGAGATTGGTTTGCATGAAGGGCCAAGAGAGTCCTGGGTCAGGACTCAGCATGAGGGCACAGAGAGTCAAAGTGTGGTCAGATTCATTACAGTTTAAGCTACTGGCCTAGTGTAGAAAGTGAGGGGAGATTTCAGGTGGGCTAATAATAGTAACAGTAAATATTCTTACGAATGTTGTCCCCTGGCCCCGTTTCCCGACTTCCAGTTCAGGGACTCGCACCAGATCCTAAGAGTACGAGTGATGACAAAACGAGTAGAAGAGTCAGTTCGCTAAAAGGTCTACGTGTTGTCCTGAGCACGAGTGCTGCTTTGATGCATTAATACATTCATTCCTCCACTATTTCCTACGCAGGTCCTGTGGTCTCCACACTGGGGATATGCCTGCCTGCAGTTCACAGTCAAGCAGGGGAGGCAGATAATACAAACAAGCAATGACCTTGAAGGTCAGTACGTGCTACGGGTAGTCAGATACAGAAGGTCACAGGACCACATATTAGGGATGCTTAACCTTAAACTTAGTGAATCAGATGAGGCTTGGTGGAGGCCATGGAATCTAAGCTAAAACATGAGAGGAAAGCAGGAGTCAGATGGGGACGGGAAGAGTTCCTTGTGGAGGGGAACAGGGCACACAAAAGTCCCTCGGGCAGAGAAGCACGGCATTCGTGAGGAAATGAAGAAGGTTAAGCTTGGGCAAAGCGTGGCCAGGATGCTGAAGAGACAGGACGGGCAGACACAGGGCATTGCAGGGTGGGCACATGAGTTTTGATTTTACGCTAATAGGCTATGAAAAACCATGGGAAGGGTTTCAAAGTTGGAAAGTTGGTGTGTGTGTGTGTGTGTGTATGTGTGTGTGTACAAATGGGTGGGTTTGAGCAGTATTAGAGTTTGCACCAGAGAGAGAAAGGTCATGGATACCCCCCCTCCCCCAGGTTTCCGATTTGAACCACTGGGTGGGGGGGGGGCACTGCTGAGGTCGGGAATACTTGGTGAAATGTGAAAGGGAAGAGGACAGGTTTGCTTTTGTGCATCTTAGGTTTGAGGTTCCTGACAGACTGCCAAGTGGATGTGAATTTGGGGACACTGGTCATCATTGGGAAAGCCAGGAAGGACTTGAGAAAAATCATTCAGATAACGTGTGTGTTTGTTTCTGCGGTAGCCTGAGATCCTGTGGCTGTCAGGAGAGAAATTCACTCCAGCTGGCCCGGAAAAGTGGGGAATTGTTAGGGTACAGAGAGCTTCACGGGGTGTGTTGCTCACCGGGAAGCTATGAGGATGGGAATAGCTCTTCTGGACTATGTAGGACAATGTGGCCACCTGCCACTCGACCCTTCCCTTATACCGCATGCCCCTCTGTGCTCATGCGTGAGGCCTCCAGCCTCCATATCTGCCCCCTGCAGAGCTGACTCCTGCTCTCACTTACCAGAGGACTTGACAGCTGCATTGAAAAGCCTCCTGTGGACTTCACCACAATCTTTAAAAGACTTTTTTGGATCTTTTATTTATTTTTGAGAGAGAGGGACAGAGAGTGCGCAGGGGGAGGAACAGAGAGAGAGGGAGACACAGAATCTGAAGGAGGCTCCAGGCTCCGAGCTGTCAGCCCAGAGCCCGACGCGGGGCTCGAACCCACAAACCATGAAATCTAACCTGACCCGAAGTCGGACGCTCAACCGACTGAGCCACCCAGGCGCCCTGAGTACAGAACTTCTGATCAGACACGATGTTGGTACATTCTTTACTTCCCTGTCTAACCCATGAAATCTGCTGCTGTGTGTTCCTGTTCCATGGAGCAGGGAGGAAAGGGCGTGTGCGCAAAACTGTCTGAATGTCTCCTTTACCAGGAGGATCTGGGCAGTTTGCATGTACTGTACTCTCAAAAGCTTCAGTCCCCTACTCTGTAAGTCAGCGCCTACTTCCCCAGGAGAGACAGTTGCACGAGAGAACACGTGAAATGCTTGCACTCGGTTGACTGTTCCTTTCCTCCTTTTACTTCTCTGTAATTCTTGTGCAAACCACTGTTTGCCCAGAAAACAGGGATTGTACTTCTATGACATTTTTTTTTTTTTTAAATATTTTTTTCAACGTTTATTTATTTTTGGGACAGAGAGAGACAGAGCATGAACGGGGGAGGGGCAGAGAGAGAGAGGGAGACACAGAATCGGAAACAGGCTCCAGGCTCCGAGCCATCAGCCCAGAGCCTGACGCGGGGCTCGAACTCACGGACCGCGAGATCGTGACCTGGCTGAAGTCGGACGCTTAACCGACTGCGCCACCCAGGCGCCCCTTCTATGACATTTTTATAGTGATTCCTATGCATGGGTATTAACAAATGTTTATAGAATGATCATATATTTTTGTTCTGTTAAATAGTAGTTGTAGCCACTCGATAACATGTTAGGAAATTTGAGATGAGGAAAAATCATTTACCTAAAATCCTGCCATTTAAATAAACGCATATAAACTATGATTTATTTCTGATCGGCTTTTTCTTGGGCTTTTTTTTTTTTTACATAAATAGGATCCTAATTTACACACAATAAGATGCAGTGTTTTAAGATGTTTAAACATAAATTATTTGCAGAATGAAAACCATATAATTTAAAAGCGTTTAATTCTCATAACTCTCAAATATCGATGGGCATCTTCCTCTGATTTCCTCTGTTTTGTCCTGAACATCTTGCAGAATCGGCAGTGTTCACTTAGAACCTTATTTAATTCTACCAAATTACAAATACATTCCTGGCAAGAGTTATGGCCCTTCAACTGTACTTTGGTGTGTTAGATTTAATGCAGAACTAATGAGGCCAGTCTACAGGTTTCATTCTCACGTGAGCCAATTAGCCTTACTAACTACTATAGCCACAAACTTCACCCCAATCTTAGTTTCCCACCTTGCAAATGAATGGCAGGGGTCACCCGCGAGAACAGGAGGAGTTCCATGCAAATCCACTGCCATTACTAGACAGCCAATGCAAAGGCTTCATCTTTGAACCATCAGGTGACGTTGTGCGGGGGAGGGGTGCTTAACAGGCACAATTAAAATATCCATGTTCAGCAATTGTTGGATTGGAGAACAAAAGCTCTAGATCCATCTAGAACAAAACTAGTCCAGATCCGGTTTTTTTCAAGGACGGTACATGAAAAAAATCTCTTTACCTCAGATGAAATGGGGGTCGGCAGCTTCAAAACAACGATGTCACCTGGAGAATTCCTTCAGCCGGCTCTCTTTCTTCACATGAACACCACGCCGCTGGTAGGGTTAGTAAATCTGAGAGAGGTGAAGTCCAGCTACCGACTGTGCTAACCCTTGAGTGGACCTCCGAGAAGATCCCAAGAAGCACTTGTGACAAGTGGGAGAGATTTGGAACATGCCCATGAACCTGTTTACCTGAGGTTGGCTTAGAGCAGGGGCGCAGATTTCAAAACTTCTACTTGAGAAAAATGCATCACGCTGTGGCGGGAAGGGGACATTTCTCCAGTGAGACGGTACGACGGCGCTTGTCTCTGCAGGTCTGCGTGGGTCTGCCACGATGCATATTCTGTGCACCGATGTGCTTTCTTTTCAAGATGGCTTGCTCACATACCCACCACTCCTTGCAAGTCCTTGGAGAAGATGTAGGCTATCAAGAAATACATGCATGGGCTCTGATGACTCTCCTGCCCCGGGGGGATGGGTGTGTGCCATCTTGATATTCTGCCTCACCCTCTCTGTGTTTCAGCGCTAAGGCGGGGACCTTAGTACTTCTGTACGGTGGCTATCAACACACATCCGCCATGCTAGTTTTGTCTCACGTTAGAAGAGAAAACGGAGAAACCACTGAGGCTTTCAAGCCGCTTTTGTAGCATCTGGATTTCTTTCTAAGTCCTCCTTGTAAGACCGCAATGTTCAGGAGCTCGTGTTTGATACTGTTCTTGCTGGTTACCATGCTGGTGGCATCAAATGTCCTGATTGATTTTTTCCTGATTGGTCCAACCTGGAACAGGATCAGCTTCAGAAGTGGGACGTCTTGTGGTCTGAAATATGAGATCTGTATTGCCGAGCCGCTCTTGACCATCATTTCTCCCATGGAGCCCACGATCTGCCGATCTGCCGGTGGCTGAATTTCCTCTTGGCTTTCTCTCCGGTGACCCTTCTCACTCCTCCTGGTGCCCCCTTTCCCTCCTGCACTTTCTCCCCCTGCTTACAAACAAAACCCCCCAAACAATAGTCCCCGAACTCTCAAATCCTTCCCTGGGCCCCTGCATCAGACAGAACTGAGTCATTCTGGCTGCCAATTGAGTGGAGGATGTCGGGAAAACGTACCATTGTGTAAGTTAAGGAAAGGGTCAGAGAACCGAAAAGACTCAGCTGCATTAAAGGGCTTCTGTGCCGGATTTTCCTTTTCAGCCATCCAAAGGCATAAATTAAGGACCGTAAGCTTGAAGGTATGGCAGATGAACAGAAACGTAGTTTGTGTCTGTTCTGTATTTCAGTGAAATTCTTCGATATCCCCGAAACTCCATCAAGAAGCGTCACATATTTTTCATGTCAGCTCTGTTCCCTGCCACCTTTGTTTTCCAGCCTGCGTGCCTGCCTCCCCTTAACAGCTGGACACATCACCATTCCATTTTTCTATTGGTTGTGACTGAAGTAGCTTGAGGTCAATTATTTCCCCAGCAATTGACAAAGAATCTTGACGAAGAGGAAAGTGACATTGTCCCTTAAACAACACTGCTCCCTCCTCCCCCTGCCCTCCCAGTTGAGAGGGGGGCAGACTTTCCTTTTGCAAGCCGCCCAGCAGGGCAGGGGCGGTGGGGTCTGTGGAAGTGCGTGGGTAACATATGGTAAGTGGAGAAAATATTTATATTCATGGGGAAAGAGCAGGAGAAGATCCAAAGAAGGTCATTCCACGGAGATTTCAAGCCAGAGACCTGCAGACTTGATAAGTCTGTCTTTGGCCTGGAAACCCCCAGGAGTTTAGAGAAAGAGTTTTGTTTTGTTTTGTTTTGTTGCATTCCCACCACCTGTGCTCCTCTTAACAATCTGAATTGTTGGCGATTTCAAAAAGGGACTATCCCTCCCCCAAAGCTCCAGGACAGTATCACCCTGGACCTTCCCAGGGCCCTGCCTGGCTCCCACCGCCTTTCCTCCCTCTGCCGCTGCCCTCCACACCAGAATTCAAAGCCGTTCTCTCTGGGCCTCTGGGGCCTGTCGGGCGTTTCTTCCCTTGTGTCGACTGGGGAGCGGGTAACCGAGCGCACTGGCAAAGTGGGCTTTGGGGGCAACTGCTTCTCCGGGGAAGGGTATAAATTATTAATCGGTACTAGATTGCTTTCTGATGAGCCCCCACGAAACCTCCAGTGCCTTCTCCGGCGCTTTCCGGCCGGCATTTTGCGTCACAGCTTCCTAAGAGAGGCAAAGGGCCCTCTTCCAGTCCCCAGTGGGAAAACTCGCGCTGTTCCGCAGGGCCACAGTCCAGCGCGCGGGACGGAACACCTGCCTTCCGAGCGGCGGTCGCGCTGCGGTGCAGACGCGCCCACCCGCGTCCCGGGATCCGCAGACACTGGACCGACACACCCACGTGCGCTCCTTCCCGCGCCCCGGAGGCGCAGCTGCGCGCGTCCCCTCCCGCGTCCTGTGCCCCCCGCCGCCCCCAGACCGCAGGGGGGAAATGTGCGCAGCCTCACGTGCAGGGTAGCGGAGAGCCAGGAGAGGGTCATTTCCCACCTAGCCGTCGAAAGTTTATTCCTCCCGCACGGAGGGGTGCGGGACGATGAGAAGCCGGGTACTTTGGAGACACCCCCAAAGCGGCGGAGCTCCGCGACTCTCTTGCAACTCGTGTTTGGAGGGGGCTTCTTACTCTCCATTCCTCCTCCCCCCAAATTGCAGTTCCCTGGGGGCGGGTATTGAGATGGGGGTACAGGTGCGTCTGGACTCGCGCTTGGGAGGGGTCCCCCAGGGTCCGCTCGTGAAGCAGACCATAAACGAGCGGCCTCTGCACCGAGGCCACGCTTAATGGATTCTTGCAGATAAAAGAACCAGGCTACCTTTCTTTGCTATAATGGCCCCTGAGGCTAACGTCTTAAAGAGGAAACAAAGGGATTGTTTTACAGCACTGGCGGGGAGGGGTGGGGAGGTGGGGAAGACCGGCGGGCGGGGAGGGGGGGGGGGACGGGCCCCCGCTTCTTAACCCTTCCCCTCCCGCGGCCTGGGCCTCCCCAAGCCTCGCCCTCGCACCCACGAGCCCCAACAGCACGGAGGAGGCGCCGCTGCTGGACGGGGTCCCCTGTGACCCGGCCCCCGGCTCTCCTCACTCCCTTCCTGTTCTTTCTAAAGATCCTCTGAAAGGGAGGACAGAAATTGTCAAGGGGACCAGTGTCGTGCGAGCTGCAGTTTTGAGTCCATCCAGGGGGGACGTTTCTCGCGAGCCCCGGGGGACCACTCAGGATCGTCGGGTGGCAGTGCCGTCAGGGCTGGGACTCTCGGGGGCCGGCGGCGCGGAGCGCACCGCGTGCGGACGCCGGGAAGGCCTCTCCCAAGTGCGCCCCGCACCTCGCGCAGGTTCTGCTCCCGGCCGCTTTGCTGACACAGTTGTTCAGGTGTGAGTGGCGTGCAAGCCGCTTGGGCGTCTTTTACGGGAAGTTTACGTTTGCAAACAGCGGCGGGAGAGAGAGAGAGAGAGAGAGAGAGAGAGAGACAGGGAGAGAGAGAGAGAGAGAGAGAGAGAGAGAGAGGAGTCGCGGTCGCATCTGCTTCCTGGCTTTTTGTTCTGGCTCCAGGAAGAGATCAAAACAATGGTTAAATAGCAATTGAAGACAACTGGTGTAAGGAATAAGCAACCTGACAACAAAAATGCCTACAGGGATGGGTTTTTGAAAATCCTTTATTATGGAAATACACAAACACTGATGGAAACAAAATGGTTTAATGCAGTGAGTCTCAAATGTAAGCAAGAGTCCGAATCACAGAGCAGAAACCTGGGGCGGGCCTGTTAAAACCCAGGTTGCTGCACCCCACCCCCAGAGATTTTTATTTAGTAGATGCGGGGTCTCCTGCTCCAGCTTGAGAATTTGCAAGTGTGTGTGTCCCAGGTGATGCTGAGGGTGTGGAAAAGACACTGTGTCGTCCACTGGTATAAATTCCCTTACCTTGCCCAGCTTTAATAGGTGTGACATTTTCTCCTCAGGTGTCTTCTGTTCCTTCCCCCAACTTTGTGGTGTCCTGGAGATTTTGTTTTGTTTTGTTTTGTTTTAGAAGGGTAGGTCTACATGAGATCAACCTTAGCTCAGTAGCTATTAAATTTTTTTTTTTTTTTACTTTAGAGAAAGCGTGTGTGAGCAAGCTATGGAGGGACAGAGAGAGGGAGAGCATCCCAAGCAGGCTCCACAGTCAGTGTGGAGCCCAAGGAGAGGCTGGAACTCTCAAAGAGTGAGATCATGACCTGAGCCAAAATCAAGAGTCTGGATGCTCAGCTGACTGAGCCACCCAGGCACCTGTGCCAGAGAGTTTTAAGGCAAATCCCAGGTGTTGTGTCATTTTATCCATATGGATGATGTCTTCAAAGTATTTATTTATTTATTTTGAGAGAGAGCATGCATGTGTGCACAAGTTGGGGGAGGGGCGCAGAGAGAGAGAGAGAGAGAGAGAGATAGAGAGAATCCCAAGTAGGCCCCTCTATGTCAGGCCAGAGCCTAACTGGGGCTCTCCACTCAAGAAATTGAAAGATCATGACCTGAGCCAAAATTGGGAGTGCAGGGAGTAGGGTGCCTGAGTGGCTCAGTCAGTTAAATCACCGATTTCAGCTCAGGTCATGTTCTTATGATTTGTGAGTTCGAGAGCCCATGTGGGGCTCTGTGCTGACAGCTCAGAGCCTGGAGACTGCTTCGGATTCTGTGTCACCCTCTCTCTCTCTTTGCCCCTCCCCTGCTCATGCTCTGTCTCAAAAATAAATAAATATTTGAACAATTTTTAACAAAATCAAGAGTTAGATGCTTAACCAACTGAGCCACCCGGGTCCCCCCCCCCCCCCCCCCGCCGATGGACGGAATTTTAATTCAGTAGTTATTTAAGCCAAGAGGGACTAAACGCTATGAGAGGTAGTAGAAAAACCTTTATATGCTTCTGAGAAGTTCAGCCTCCCTTCTGGTCATGCTGGGGCCAAGTTCAGAGCCTCTCTCTGTAAAGCCACACCTACATCTTGGTTTTGAGAGCACGCTTCACGAGTTCCTCGCAAGCCAAACTTGTCAGGTTCCTCTAATGCTGCTGGCTTTTCCAGCAAGCTGGCCTGGTTTGGGGAGCCACCTGGTCCCCACCTTTCAGCTTCAGGTCATTATCTGTCTTGTCATGTATTCCCATGACCATCATTTATCCTCGAGTGTTTTCCTAAGAAGTCACCTTTCCCTAGGACTGAGCTTTGAACCACAGGGGTGGGGTGGCGTCCACAAAAGTGCAAACCCAGGGTGATATTTTGAATTACGGAATCCTTTTGTAAGGATCCTGGGCTGGCACCCCAGGGGGAGCTGCCGTGGGCTGCCTGCACCTTACAATTACTGGTTTCGGAAAAGGGGAGGTTCCAGCCCCTAGCCTCTGGGAATGGCCATCCCTGAAGCCCAGCTCGATCTTCCTTCGTTGGTGGGTCCTGTACAGTCTGGCTTTGTGGGTCACTTTTGTTCAGAAAGGCTCCGAGTTCCCACTTACATTCTATATTCGGCTGGTCTTCGCTGTGAAGCTTCTACCTAGGCCACCCAACCCTCCCTTCGGCCCCTCTGAGAGAACCCCCCCCCCCACACACACATTTAGGATCTCTCCTCCCCCACCCCCCTTTCTCATCCCAAACCCCCTGGAGTCCCTTCCCCACGCCCACCCTCAGAGCTTTCTTAGGCTGTTCAAAAGTTCACTCTCTTACATGTTGCTTGTTCTTTCTTTCTTCTATTTGCCTGGCTCTCCAGGAAGCTGTACGAATGTTTCCTTTCTCCATCTGCTGCTAAAGAAAGCCCTGGGGACGGAGTAGACTCCTCCACCCCGAGCTCTGTTCCTATTTTCATTGTACCTCATCTTCCTATGTTTTTCTTCTTCTGTCAGCCTGGAATCAGCTGTCACTGCTCTATTTTCTCATGGGTCCTTCAACTTGCCTTTGCTTTTCTAGCCTCCTTGAGAGAAAATGCAAACAGCATGTGTTTGCTCCCCTTTGGGTCCTTATCGCACCTAATTTTGTTTGGTCGTCGGGCTGCCATGTTGCCCACTGATAGAAGCAGTTTTTCCCACTTGTACGAGGAAGGAAGGCTGCGGGGTGCTGGGGCAAGGTTTGGGATCAGCGGATTCGAGCCCAGCCCTGGTTCTGCCTTTTGATAGCTTGTGTCGCTGGATTCAACCCTGGGACCTCAGCCCCTTATTCGAACGTGGCAAAAAAACCCCAAACCAACCAACAAACAAAACCCCCACAAAAAAACAAACCAACTAAACCAAACAAAAAAACCCTTCATCTGCAGAATGGGGTTTGAATAGTTCGCAAAGTTGTGAGCCGTTCAGTGGGATGATGCGTGTGTCAGTCACGCCCACAAAGGTAGAGCCTCTTGCCTTCATCTTGTCAGTGTCTTCTAAGTTTGCAGTTGTTGAAATCTACTCTGAAGGAGAGCCCAAGGGTGGAGCCTTTCTGATGGTTTTGGTGACTCTTTCCCCTGTCACCTGCCTCCCTAGGTCAGCCCTGGCCTGGAGGTGCGCCTCTGAGAGGCCAAGCTGGTCCCTCCCTAAACGCGAGTCTCTGAGTCTCTGCGGATGTCACTGGGGGAGCTTGGAGGAAGCACCCATGGGCAGGGCTCTGCGGGTGTCACTCTCTCCCCTACCT